TACTACTACTACTACTACTACTACTACTACTACTACTACTACTACTACTACTACTACTACTACTGCTACAACTACTACTACTACTACTACTACTACTACTACTACTACTACTACTGCCGCGACGATGACTACGACGACGACGACGACTACTCCTACTACTACTCGTACTCTTCACTTCTCGTTGCAACGGACAGGAAACACCTTATCAGTAGAAACGCAGTAGCAGTAATCGGAGATGCCGACGCCGCTCTGTGGAGGCCCCTCCGAGCCCCGCCCCCGCAGCTTCTCTTGCAGTCCCTCGGCACGGTGTCGGCACGTAACATGAAGTCACAAAGCTTGGTGGCTGTCCACTCTTGTGGGACATTAGAGCCTTGCAGGGCTTCGGCCTGACGTAGCGACATCAAGCGGAGAAGTTGAACACCCTGTGTAAAGATGCTGCTTTGCGTGACTCAAGGTTAAGGGAGCCCTGGGCGTCGCGGCCGTGGGTGCCGCCGTGGCCGCGGGCACCCGCCGCAAACACCGGTCTGCGCTTGCAGGCGACACCGAAGCCAACAGTCGAGCGCTGAAGTGTCCACACTGCTTCTTGCAGCCGACAGCCACACCTTTCTGCCTCTGTGCAGGTGCAGCTACCGTGACCAAGCTCGCGAAGACGCGGTCTCTTACAGATGCGAAGGTTGTCGTATGCGCAGGCGCTATGCTCCCAGAAGCTCAGCTTCAGCTATCTAACACACAGTACGAGAGTGGTAGGATGAGGCTTGGTCGTTGTTGTGGATAGTGGTAGATATTGTCATTGTTTGGGACCTTTGGGGAATTTTGTAAGCAATCCGAGGAGGGGCGTAAGCTGCGCGTGGCCGTCATCGGCGGTGGCCCAGCCGGCGCGAGCACAGCGGATGCCTTGGCTCAGGCACCGCAGGGTGCAAGAGCCGCAGATGTTCAGTACAGCTCCTTTAGAGGGACATGGAGCTCTGCTCCAACTTGGTCTTTTTATCTCTCTTACTTGGTCCGAATCTTGATGTGGGCTGCAGGAGGGCATCGAGACTTACCTCATCGAGAGGAAGCTGGACAACTGCAAGCCCTGCGGCGGGGCCATCCCTCTGTGCATGATCGAGGACGCACAGCAGCCATCCGCAGCCCTCAGAATGAACTTGCGCGGTGCTGGTTGACCCCAAACCGGAAAGCCGAGCAAGGCCGAAGGCTCGCAGAGTTTACGCTCTGCAAGAATATGTCTGCGGCAGCTGCCGATGTACCTAGCAGGTCATAAAGCTCAGCTTCAGAGGCTGCGCAGTGCTGTCTCCCACAACATATCGCATCTGCGAGGAGTTCGATCTGCCCAAGGACATCGTGGACCGCCAGGCCTGCTCCCAACCAGCTTTCGCTACGTCTGGCTTGCCCTTGAGTCGCGAATGTGTGAAGCCCGGGCTCCGCGGAGGTTCGCAAGATGACCATGATCTCTCCCACGAACAAGGAGGCCTGACAAACATGTTTCTGGCTTGGACAGCCCCGAAGACGGGCCGAGGGCTTTTGAGGAGCCGTCGCGTCGCGCCTGTTGCGCAGGTGCAGATTGGCCAGACCCTGAAGGACGATGAGTTCATCGGCATGGTGCGCCGCGAGGTCCGATTTCCGACGTCTGGGCATCAGGGTCACAGGGACTTGGGCTGGATCGTGGTGCGGCTGTTGTTGCGCAGGTGCTTGACGACTTCCTCCGCCAGAGGGCCAAGCAGAACGGCGCCACGCTGATCAACGGCCTCTTCATGGGCATGACGATTCCTCAGAGCAAGGCCAGGCTGCACAGCTTGCAGATCAACCTTCCTCCAACTTCTTGCGAGGGTCAGAGTAGTCTCGAAGCGGAGCGTAACCGTGTAGCCTACGCTTTCAGGAAGAGTCTTATGTGCTGACCTACAACGACTTCGGTGAGGAAGAGGGCAGTGCACGCAGCCAAGCTGAAGACTGAGAAGTCGTTGGAGGGAAAGGGATGGCAGTAGCAAGGCAGGTTTCTTGGTTGTTCGTTTTGTTAAGAGGACATGACTAGGAGTGCCCTTGACTACGACGCTGCTACGTCTAGGATTCAGGAAGAGCCCCCCCCTTAATATAGTGAGAATGGGGGGGGGGTAACCCCCGGTGCCACCTATTTCCGCCACCTATTTTGCTACAGTGGGGGGTGGTTTGGAAATAGGTGGGAAATGATTAGAACAGCAGCATGACAGCCCTCTATCTGCATGGGCAGTCCAGCATCAAGGATAAATAGGTGGAGTCGAAGGGGGGTTGGGGGTCCCTTACGAGGCGCAAGGCTCTTGCACGCTACGGTCCCCCCACCTGTTCCCACCTATTTATTCTTAGCTAACAAGGCTTCTAGGCAAGGCCATAGCTGCTGGGCGAGCTGCACCTCTTTTAGAAATAGGCTAGCTCCAAGAACTTGCCTGAGTAGTAGGCTAGTATAGCAAGGAGTCCAGCGTCAAGGAGAAATAGGTGGAGTCGAAGGGGGGGTTGGGGGTCGCCTACGAGGCGCAAGGCTCTTGCACGCTACGGTCCCCCCACCTTTTCCCACCTATTTATTCCTGGCTTACAAGGCTTGGGGAAGGCTTCTAGGCGAGGCCATAGCTGGTGGGCTAGAAGTACATACCTTAGTAGTAGGCTGTCGCCTTCGCACGCTCAACCCGAAACTTGAGCCACTCAGCACACAACCTTCTGCGCTACAGTCCCCCAAGCCCCCCAACATATGAAAAACATCGAAATAGGTATGCCACCTATTTCCCCCCCCCCCTCGCCCACCCCCCCACCCCTCCCCCCCTTAAGGGGGGGGCTCTATTCAGGACATATCACGACGATCCTTGCACATGTTCGCCATCAGGCAAAGGCGAGAAGAAGACCTTGGAAGTCGATGTTCCTTGGCTTCGAACTGGAACGTAGGGAGCCAACGTCGGTGTGTGTTCTCCGTGCACAAGGCCAGGTGGGGTCGTAGCATGGATCGCCCTCTCAGGTCGTGGTCGGAGCTGATGGTGCCAACAGCCGGGTGGCCAAGGATATCGAAGCTGGCGACTATGAATACGCCATCGCGTTTCAGGAGCGCATGCGCATCCCAGATGGCAAGATGGACTACTACAAGGACCGCGCTGAGATGTACGTTGGCGATGATGTCTCGCCGGACTTCTATGCCTGGGTCTTCCCCAAGTGCGACCACGTTGCTGTGGGCACCGGAACCGTGGTGGACAAGAAGGGCATCCAGCAGTACCAGCAGGGCATCCGCGACCGGGCAGCTGTGCGCATCGAGGGTGGTGAGATCATCCGCGTCGAAGCCCACCCGATCCCTGAGCACCCGCGCCCATGGCGTGTGAAGGACAGGGCAATCCTCGTCGGCGACGCGGCCGGCTACGTGACCAAGTGCTCCGGCGAAGGCATTTACTTCGCTGCCAAGAGCGGCCGCATGTGCGCAGAGACCATTGCCAAGAGCTCGAAGCAGGGTGTGCGCATGATCGATGAGGCTGACCTCATGGAGCACATTCGCGAGTGGGATTCGAAGTATGGCCCCACTTATCTGGTTTTGGACTTGCTGCAGAAGGTGTTCTACACCAGTGATGCTGCTCGTGAGAGCTTCGTAGAGCTCTGTGAGGAGGAGTATGTGCAGAAGGTGACCTTCGACTCGTACTTGTACAAAACTGTGCAGGGCAACGACCCTATGGGTGATCTCAAGCTTGGCTGGAAGACGCTCAGCTCCTTGTACAAGTTCAACAACTCGGAGCCCGACAAGATGCGAACCCTTGCGTAAGCCTGCGGCCGAAGTGCCACGGTTTTTTTAATGCACAGGACGGGAATCGAAATGATGTTACTCGTAGGTTTTGGAACAGCAAGCTGCAGCGGTGAAAGCTTTCCCTCCCCTGTGTACATGCCGCCCAGTCCCAGGCTGTCCACAGCTGCGTAGCTACCCTGGGAACTGCGTGTTTTTCACCTGCCGACTGAAGTAGCCGGGGCTGTCAGGTGTCGGCCGCCGGTGCAGTTCACATGTGGACTTTCAGGCACGATGCCGGCGATGCCCTTTGGCGTGTAAGACTTGTAGTCAGCATTTTGTTTGTAATGGTGAGTGTAGCCGATGTGGACTTGAGCGCTGAAGATGTCCCATGCACCGCGTGGGTTCGGTTTTGATCAGCGTGGAAAGGAGCCCGACGATAGGATGAGATTAAGAGGCCATCTGAGCCGAGCTCTGGCCAATACGGGCTCCTTTGCAGACTTATCCGAGAACCCCGTTGCCAGGAACACCAAAAAATCAGAGCATTGCAGAGAGCAGAAATGCTTGTCTTTGTCCAGCTTTGTGGGTTCGCAGATTCGCAGCCGACTGCCCTACTTGGGATCTGTGTGACGTGGTTATAGTTGCAGACCGATTGGCACCTCCAGTCACTTCCAAAAGGCCCCTTGCGGGAATCCTGTCGTCCAACTCGAACCTCTGCCTTCTCTTGCTATGAAGGAAAGCCTCGGCTTCCTTCGCTCCCAAGGTGCCACGGTAACTCGGCTGGGCGCTGTTGCCCTTGTTCATCTGCGACAGGGCCCTGGCCGCCGGGTTTTGGAAGTTCAACTTGTCGGCCCCGCCCTTCAAGGCCCCCCACTTGAAGCCCTCTTGAAAACACCCTTCTCAAGCCTGTGTTCTGATGCCCCAGCCCCCTACCTTGCGAAGCTCCCCCCTTCGAGAAGCCACCCCTTCTTTTCAAGCCTACTGCAACAAAGGGTGCTGGGATGATGATTCGGAAGCCCCCGCAAGCATCAATCTTCGCCAATCAGACTGCTGATTGGACTACAGGTCCGAGGGCCGCGAGTTGGATCAGAGGCAGAGGCCAGATCTCGTGAAGCAGACGCAGGGCCACAGCTGAGTCTGAGCAGAACTTCGTGTTGGGCTCTGGCTCAAGAGCTGTGTGATTTAGCGCCTCTACCATCGCCGCAGAAGCTATGCAGATCCTTGTTGGCTCTTCTTGACACTCTCCTGATCTCGCCCGATCCGATCCTGCAGGAACCGGATGAATAACAGTGCGAGGCCGACAAAGCATGGGATTGACCCGAGCTTAGTCGCAGACACGATCGTAGAGCAGAACAGCGATGCTGTCACCCTCCGAATCAAAAGCAAAGTTCTGAGCTCACTTCGAGATGATGGTCCAAACAATCAGTCCACAAAAGAGCTGCAGAGATGTGGCGGTTCGCACCTTGAGCCGCGATATTGCGTTCTGGCAGGAGGAGTCGACAAGAACATCGGTTGGCTTTGGGCGACTTTGTACATTGTCACTGGGCACTGGTTGATCCTAACAGAGAGGTCATCCGGGGCTCTCAACTCGGATGGCATGAAGCAAAGCGTTTTTGACCAGCACGCAAACCTCGCCCTTGTTGCCGCCCTGGTGCTCACCGTCCTTCTGCCATTGGCATACGAGTATTCAGGTGATTATCTGCAAAACGATTCCGAGACTCTGAGTGTGTTCAACGGTGCTTTCGCTAGCTGGGTGGGTGAGGATTGGCTCAGTGATCACATCGGTTTCTTAGAGGACATAGGCCATATTTGCTATGGTTTGGCGGCCTTCAACACTTGGGCAGCTGTCTGCGCATGCTGTTTCATCTTGCTGGGTTGCATTGAGCTCAAGACTGACACGGAGGTGCTTGCTTTTGTGACGCGCATGGGCAGGTTATACTTGCTTCCATATTTCCTGTGGATATCCTCAGCGATTGCAATTCCTGCGATGGCTTTGAGAGCATTCTTGGTCCTGCGCGACTGGATATGCGTTGCCATCAGTTTGGGACTTACGGTTATCATCATACTGGTCTTGGCTTGCTTCTTAATCTCCGCAATCAAGGCCGTGGTGAACACCAAACTGGGTGGGCAAAGATACTGTGCCCTCTCACTCACCGCCGAAGAGTGTAAGGAAGATGTCAAGGCATATCTCAAGGAGGTTGGAGTGGATGCCAGCCTGAAAGAGTGCTTGCTACACTTGCAGTGTCAGGGTGAGGGAGGCTTGATTGTTCCGCTTGCCAACCTCACAGCAATGACAGCGACTTGGCCCAGCAGGCAGCCTGTAGACTACATGTCAACATGAGCGGTCTATGTGTTTTTGCTATCCTAAAGGAGCTCGTCAGATTGTAGTGGTTTTCCATGAACCCGTATTGCAGCATGTCACCAAGCATGGCGAGGAAAGTAGCTAGCCGGCACTGGTTCTGCAATCCTTCGCCGCATTCTGCACCAATTCTTTTGTCTCTGGAGGGTTGCGAGGACAGTCGCGAGAGCTCCTTGTGTTCACGGGCTTGTCAAGTGGATCTGAAACGCAGTTTGCTCGTGTTCTCCTGCTACCGTCAGGAAACCAGCAGCTGTCAAGAGTTGTGCCTGTTCCGGACTAGAAAGACGGCGATTGTCGTTGTACGAAATGGTCTCCGAGCATGTTGTTCCTTTCTGTCACCAAAAGGAGGTTTTCGCTGGTCCCCTCCTAGGGAGACGCACCATTTCTCGACACCTCCAGCCACTCTGAGACTTCAAGGCACTGCTAGCAGAGAAACACAAAAGCAGTACGTACACACAAATGCTTTGGCGAAAAAGCCTCTCCACCCGACAGGGCTTCTTAGGGTAGCCAGACTTGCAACGTATCCGTCTCAGCAAGCAGCATGGAGGGCTCTGCACACCAATGATGGAGTGTCCTTTCCGATCTCCCATTGAAGACCCTGGGCCCAGACCCTAAACCAGTTCATGGCTGAAGGTGAAGTTGGAATACGCCCGACAGATGGTGGAGAAGCTCGGCATCCGTGAAGCGGAGAAGGAGTCTTTCCTCCCCATCATATTGACCTCCTGAAGGAGATCAACCTCCGGCAGACCAAGGACCCTCGTTTGAGGAGCTTGGCGCCCGTAATCGGGTTTTCTGCAGAGCCGGGATATCGAAAGTAGCTGTAAGCAGTCTCTGGCCACGGCCCTTTTGTCCATGTCAAGTATTCCGAGTTCTGGCTTCAAGTTGCAAGAGTCGAAGACTTGGCCCAACATCCGTAGGATGCCAGCAGTCTCGCTGCGATGCAACTCTCAAGGTTGCAAGCGGACAGCATCTCCGGGAACTCGAGAACGAAAAAGAATGCTGAGAAGAGCTGTGTCATGGGTGGCAGTCTCCTTGGTAGATCTTCGCTAAAGCCTCAAACCCCTGCCTGGAAGAGGACACAGAGGAAGATGTGGCGGCCTCGGTCTTGCGAGCCGTCGTTCGAGATTGCTATGGGACACGGATGGAAGCCGGGTGACATTGCAGGGACTTTTAGAATCTTTGTTGGTTGCCTTTTGGGTTTGGAGTGGTTGAATAGAGCTTCAAGGTCTACTCCCCTTCCGAGTGTGGATGGTGCAATGAAGCTTCTCAGTCTCTGATGCGTAGGTGAGGCTGAGGTTGCTGTAGTTGCAGGATCAGGTGCTTGGCCGGTTGCAGCCACTGCGGCCGCAAAGCAAGGTTCGCTAGATTCCTTCTTTTTCCATCTTTTCGACAATTGCGCCTGGGAAGCAAGAGAGATTGAGAGTTTCCGTCAAAAACAGCACCCGTGCCAAGTTGTGCTGCATGTTTTTGGTTCAGTCCTCTATCGGACCCCATGACTCCAAGCCTAAACCTGAAGACGCGACGCCTTCTCGGTTGAGGCCATGGCTGCCTTTGTGGCCGTGCCAAGCTCCGCCGCAAGCAACACCGCCTTGCGTGGCAGCCTGACCCATGTCCCGCAGGTGGATCTTGGATCGCAGTGTGGGTGAATCTTGTGGCAGTGGTGGCAGTAGTAGTAGTAGTAGTAGTACTACTACTGCTGCTACTGCTGCTACTGCTACTACTACTACTACTAATTACTACTACTAGTACTACTGCAATAACAACTCCTCCTCCTCGTCCTCCTCCTCCCAGTACTACTGCTACTACTACTACTACTACTACTATAACTACTACTGCTACTACTACTACTACTGCCGCTACGACTCCAACTCTTCACTCCTCATGCGCAACGGAGTGGAAACGCAGTAGCAGTAATCGGAGATGCCAACGCCGCTCTGTGGAGGCCCCTCCGAGCCCTGCCCCAGCAGCTTCTCTTGCAGTCCCTCGGCACTTAACGTGAAGTCACGAAGCTTGGTGGCTGTCCACTCTTGTTTGTGGGACATTAGAGTGCAGGGCTTCAGGTTGGCGTCGTCAAGCGGAGAAGTTGAACACCCTGTGTAAAGATGCTGCTTTGCGTGACTCAAGGTTAAGGGAGCCCTGGGCGTCGCGGCCGTGGGTGCCGCCGTGGCCGCGGGGACCCGCCGCAAGCACCGGTCTGCGCTTGCAGGCGACACCGAAGCCAACAGTCGAGCGCTGAAGTGTCCACACTGCTTCTTGCAGCCGACAGCCACACCTTTCTGCCTCTGTGCAGGTGCAGCTACCGTGACCAAGCTCGCGAAGACGCGGTCTCTTACAGATGCGAAGGTTGTCGTATGCGCAGGTGCTATGCTCCCAGAAGCTCAGCTTCAGCTGTCTAGCACAGAATGCGTGAGTGGTAGGATGAGGCTAGGTCGTTGCTGTGGATAGTGTTCTTCATTGTATTGCTTATAGGACCTTTGGGGAGACCTTGTAAGCAATCCGAGGAGGGGCGTAAGCTGCGCGTGGCCGTCATCGGCGGTGGCCCGGCCGGCGCGAGCACAGCGGATGCCTTGGCTCAGGCACCGCAGGGTGCAAGAGCCGCAGATGTTCCGAACAGCTCTGAAAGAGGGACATGAGGCTCCGCTCCAGCTTGGACTCTCTCTGTCTCTCTCCCTCCCTGTCTCTGTCTCTGTCTCTCGGCGCAGAGCAGCTATGTCTAGGTCCGAATCTTGATGTGGGCTGCAGGAGGGCATCGAGACTTACCTCATCGAGAGGAAGCTGGACAACTGCAAGCCCTGCGGCGGGGCCATCCCTCTGTGCATGATCGAGGACGCACAGCAGCCATCCGCAGCCCTCAGAATGAACTTGCGCGGTCCTGGTTGACCCCAAACCGGAAAGCCGAGCAAGGCCGAAGGCTCGCAGAGTTTACATTCTGCAAGAATATGTCTGCGGCAGCTGCCGATGTACCTAGCAGGTCATAAAGCTCAGCTTCAGAGGCTGCGCAGTGCTGTCTCCCACAACATATCGCATCTGCGAGGAGTTCGATCTGCCCAAGGACATCGTGGACCGCCAGGCCTGCTCCCAACCAGCTTTCGCTACGTCTGGCTTGCCCTGAGTCGCGAATGTGTGAAGCCCGGGCTCCGCGGAGGTTCGCAAGATGACCATGATCTCTCCCACGAACAAGGAGGCCTGACAAGCATGTTTATGGCTTGACAGCCCCGAAGACGGGCCGAGGGCTTTTGAGGAGCCGTCGCGTCGCGCCTGTTGTGCAGGTGCAGATTGGCCAGACCCTGAAGGACGATGAGTTCATCGGCATGGTGCGCCGCGAGGTCCGATTTCCGACGTCTGGACATCAGGGTCACAGGGACTTGGGCTGGATCGTGGTGCGGCTGTTGTTGCGCAGGTGCTTGACGACTTCCTCCGCCAGAGGGCCAAGCAGAACGGCGCCACGCTGATCAACGGCCTCTTCATGGGCATGACGATTCCTCAGAGCAAGGCCAGGCTGCACAGCTTGCAGATGGGGCTTCCTCCGGCTTCTTGCGAGGGTCAGAGTAGTCTCGAAGCGGAGCGTAGCCGTGTAGCCTACGCTTTCAGGAAGAGTCTTATGTGCTGACCTACAACGACTTCGGTGAGGCCGAGGGCAGTGCACGCAGCCAAGCTGAAGACTGAGAGAGAAGTCGTTGGAGGGAAAGGGATGGCAGCAGCAAGGCAGGTTTCTTGGTTGTTCGGATGTTAAGAGGACATGACTAGGAGTGCCCTTGACTACGACGCTGCTACGTCTAGGATTCAGGACATATCACGACGATCCTTGCACATGTTCGGCATCAGGCAAAGGCGAGAAGAAGACCTTGGAAGTCGATGTTCCTTGGCTTCGAACTGGAACGTAGGGAGCCAACGTCGGTGTGTGTTCTCCGTACACAAGGCCAGGTGGAGTCGTAGCATGGATCGCCCTCTCAGGTCGTGGTCGGAGCTGATGGTGCCAACAGCCGCGTGGCCAAAGACATCGAAGCTGGCGACTATGAGTATGCCATCGCGTTTCAGGAGCGCATGCGCATCCCAGATGGCAAGATGGACTACTACAAGGACCGCGCTGAGATGTACGTTGGCGATGATGTCTCGCCGGACTTCTATGCCTGGGTCTTCCCCAAGTGCGACCACGTAGCTGTGGGCACCGGAACCGTGGTGGACAAGAAGGGCATCCAGCAGTACCAGCAGGGCATCCGCGACCGGGCAGCTGTGCGCATCGAGGGTGGTGAGATCATCCGCGTCGAAGCCCACCCGATCCCTGAGCACCCACGCCCATGGCGTGTGAAGGACAGGGCAATCCTCGTCGGCGACGCGGCCGGCTACGTGACCAAGTGCTCCGGCGAGGGCATTTACTTCGCTGCCAAGAGCGGCCGCATGTGCGCAGAGACCATTGCCAAGAGCTCGAAGCAGGGTGTGCGCATGATCGATGAGGCTGACCTCATGGAGCACATTCGCGAGTGGGATTCGAAGTATGGCCCCACCTATCTGGTTTTGGACTTGCTGCAGAAGGTGTTCTACACCAGCGATGCCGCTCGTGAGAGCTTCGTAGAGCTCTGTGAGGAGGAGTATGTGCAGAAGGTGACCTTCGACTCGTACTTGTACAAAACTGTGCAGGGCAACGACCCTATGGGTGATCTCAAGCTTGGCTGGAAGACGCTCAGCTCCTTGTACAAGTTCAACAACTCGGAGCCCGACAAGATGCGAACCCTTGCGTAAGCCCTGCGGCCGAAGTGCCACGGTTTTTTTAATGCAGAGGAAGGCGAGTTAGGAGACCGGAGCAGTAACGAGATGCAGACAGTGTTTCTTGAAGCTCTCCTTCTTCTGTGTAGATGCTACCCAATCCCAGGCTGTCCAAAGCTGTGTAGCTCCCCCGGGAATGGGAACTGCGTGTTAGGGCAGGGAGCCTAAATGCGGGCTCCTTTGCAGACCTTTCTGATGCCCCTGTCGCAATGCTCAAGAGAGCAAAACGGCGTCGGATGTCTTGGTTCTGGTTCAGGTCGTATCGTAGCCGTAGCACCACTTCTGAGAGACCGAGCAGATTGTCATCCTGTGGACCTCCCCAAATGATCCCCAGTGCTTTCTTTGACGTTCTTCGCTGAGTCACAAAAGGAAAGTGAGTCAAAGACACCTACAGTCTCGTTATAGTAGTTATAGTATACTGAAAATACTGTATCTTCCTGATTCATGCTTCGCCGCGTCTTAGCGACGGTGGTCGCCTCACTCCAGATGCCCGGTGAAGGCGGGATCTTGTCCCACGCGGCGACCCGTTCTTCCTGGTATGTCACTCATTCTCCTCGGAAGTTCACAGACAAGGCTAGCCGCGACATCACGGGATGGATGCAAGCAGATGCTGACAGGCGCCGTGCCGCCAACCCACTGCAAATCTATCTCGTTTCGAGACGGTTTTGTCTGACTGGAAAGACAGAGCCCCCCCCCCGGCGTTCGGTCCAGTCAAGACATGCCTGGCGGTGCCATGCGCAGTAGACACGTAGACCTCTGCCAGGTCATGTCGCCATAGCTCCGAGGATCCAGAACCCGGATCGATTCGTCAGTCACTGGGCTGCAAACGTTGTTCCCACGGCTGGATGCTGACGGTGGCATATGTTCCGCTTGTCGTCAGGATGCTGCTGGCACGGCAGGGTCCAGAGATCATGAGTTGCTCGGTGACAAAAAGCTTCAATGCCTCCCTCAGAGAAGAGGCTGCGAGCAGTTCAGTGAGTTGCAGTGCCGGTGGCCACGACTCGCGATAGCCGTTTCAGGCTCAGTGCTTCAGCACATGGCTGACTGGGACCCATCAAAGATTTCAGCACCCTGCACACCTCAGCGCGCCAGACCTTAAACTACTTTTAGACCTCCCGCAGGGTCTCGCGACGATCACTTGCAAGGTTTTTTTGTCAAAGACCTTACTTTCTTATGGCTCGCGCCACACGCTCGGGCGCATGGCCGCATCCTACGCCCCCCGTTTCCAGCCGGGCCTGCACGCTCCCCACCTCTGCGGGCCGTACCGGCCGGTGGACGTGCCGAAGACCCAGCAGGCCGCGCAGGCCTCGCCAAAGTGCTGTGGTTGACACGTCTTGACTAGTGCCCCCCCCTGTGCTGTGAGGCTCCGACACATGTGCAGCTGTACTGTGACCTGGACGGTGTGCTGGCCGACTTCAACAAGGGCTGTCTTGCCCTTTTCCCAGAAGGTGGGGCAATTGCGGCGAAGATACCGACGCACACGGTCACGAAGCTCACTTGGGAGGAGGACCCTTTCTTGCTCTCTGACATGTCTCGGAGTCCGAAGTCTGAATTTCTGAGCTCGAGCCCTCGAGGCAGCTTAGGATGCTTGGGCAGGGTTCCAGGAGGAATTCGACTCCGCTTTTGAAAGGGGAATCGCTTTTTACGAAAGGGATACGCGGCGTGAGCCCTCCTGCCAGGAAATCCTAGTACTTCACCTGCTCCGTACCTAGCTCATGGCTCATGCTTTTTCTTTCTTCTTCTGCAACCCTGTTTGTGTGTGCCTTGATGCTGCTCTTTGTCAATCTCTGCCGATGTATGCCGTAAGTGGTGAGACCATTTGGGCATCGAAACTCCCACAGGCCGTGACCCAGCGTTCCCCCCGACATCCCAAGGCCAAGACTCCACCAACTCTCAAGGTAAGGAGTGGTCTCAGAGGCTTCAGCATACTTACCAGCAAACGGAACTTCTGAGAGCCTGAGTCTGCTCCAACCCGATCATTGCCTGCGTCAAGCATGTTTAGCACGAGGAGAGCGAGATGTGGCGGCGCATTGAGGAAAAGACGGACTTCTTCCTGTCGCTTGATTGGACGTCAGATGGCGAAGAGCTCTGGAGATGGATTGATTGGAATATCGTGTCCAGTCCAGCAGTTCTCACTGGCCTCCCGATGGGCCGAGCAGGACAGATGGCAGCGAAGCAGAAGGAGCAGTGGTGCCACGAGAAGCTGGGCTCTGAGGTGGCGGTCTACTGTTGTGGAACACGGAACAAGCAGAAGTTCAGCGGCCAGGGCTGCGTGTTGATCGACGATCGTGGGGACTTGCGCGAAGCCTGGGAAGCTCGAGGGGGCATCTTTGTTCATCACACTTCAACGGCAGAGACCATCCGCCAGCTGCGGGAGATCCTCAAGTCCTCGCAGATTGGAAGAGGAAGCCAGAACACAACGAGCACCCAGGAGGCGCCGCTACAGATGACCAGCATCTGCTGGGCTGCCCAGACGCCGGCAGGTTGCTTCAAACCTAAGTGCCGCTACTTACACGTGCCTGTCTCGCGCCGACACCGCTGCTGGATTCAGCTCTGGGGATTTGTCTGGTGGCACCAGAGGATGTTCGACGACCTTCCCAGCTTTGTGGACTGCATTCGCTCTGTCTACTCTCCAAAGCACCAGGCTGCTTTCCAGGCAGACAAGGACATGGACGAGCAATCGCACGGTGCCTTCCGGTCGATGCTCGAAACCCTGCGGGAGAGTTGTGAACTCGGGCTGCCTCTCGACTTTTTGCGCTGCTCGGCTGGGTCAAAGCCTTTTCTTGAATCAGTGTTCCTGATTTTGTGTGTTTTGTTTAGAAAGCATCGCTGGGTTATCGGCATCGGTTCTGCAGGTGCGATGGACCATCCCTCTCCACCGTCGCCGCTGCCTCCATTGCCGCGCCAAGTGCGAGATGTTTCGGCGCAGGCTGGGTCGGTGAAAGGAGAAGCCTGTGTACCATGAACGACTGCTGAAGCGGGGCAGGTCTCGGCACTGGCCTGAAGCTTACCGAGAGCTCGCCTGACTCGGAAGCCTTGCGTTTCCTTCCATCATGAGGTTCAGACCTTGGACGTGTTGGGTCCCGACCCGAAGGTTGTTGTAGCGGGCAGCATGGGCCACAGCCCAAGTGTTGGTATTTTCCATCTGTGCCTTACCGTTTGCTGTTGCAGGCCTCCGGCCGATTTAGCGCCTTCCAACATGAGCAGTCTGTGTCCGAAGACATTTTTGCCGTTGGCAGCTGTGCATTTGAAGGTTTGGGTGCAGACGTCGGAGGGCGAGGAGCTTGGCTTCAATCTGTAGTAGTGCTGGTCATATTTTGTGCCGCGCCGGCTGCAACACCGCTAGAAGCCCTGACCCTGCACAGACTGCAAGCTGTGTCGTGCGTCTCTGCATCCAGTGACTACAAGGTCTGACCTCGACCTGGTGCTCTGCTGTGACATAGAGGCCGGTAAGCTGAGGACTGTGTTCTGAGTTTTTCTGGGTTCTGATCTGAGGTGAATCCCAAGACAGCCCTGGCCTCCGTGACGGAGGCTTTGCTGAAGGCAGCTGGTGCGAGCTGAGAGGTAAGGAGAGGCTCAATAGTGCAGTAGTGCAGGGTTGATCTGTAGGGTCGCGGTTCTGGACAGGCCGGGGAGGCCGTCGATGTGATATTGCTGGAGCAGGCCGTGCTTGCGGCTGCTGCTTCAGCTCGCAAAGCCGAGTTCAAATGGATCGGAAATCGAGTTTTGCACTACACCTTACATCCGATCTAGAATGTTCTGTCCCTGACGACCTTTCCCGAGAATGGCAGAATGCCAGCCAGGAAGTTTGAGGAGCAAACACAAGGTGTCCCACCTGGTGCAGGTCGCTGTTCCGCTGGTCTCCTTCCGAATGGCAGGCGAGGGGATGTCGGCTCTGCAGAGGGGTCCGTTTGCCCGTTTTTTCAGAGAGGGCGAACTACTGCCCAGCGCGTAGCATCTCCAAGATGTGAGAAGATTGTTGGACGAGCCCTGCAGGCCTTGCTGTGGACGTGACATTGCTCGCGGCCTCAGCGGGGTTCTGACAAGCCTTTGTGCTTTGGCAACGCTGGCCTGAGGAACCAGATGTCTTCTATCCGCGACATTCTGCTGTTTCGCTATGCTCTGTTCGGAACTCAGCACACATGCCGCGGTCCCCGGGCATCGGCGGCCATGATTGAGTTGGAAGAGACGGTTGGCAAGTGAGCAGTTTTCCACGCTAGTCTCTAGGCTTTGCAGGAGGAAGCCCGAGAATACCCAAAAGGATGAGAAGAAGAGGCATGCGAGGAAGGAAGACGAAGAAGGAGCGAGCGCAGACGCAAGGGTCTCGGCCGTGTCTTTGGGCATTCAGGCGAACTGCTGGGCCCGAGCTTTCCTCCATGCTGCGCCTCGTGAAGTGGCAGCCTCAGGCCAGTGTTTGACGGCTCTGGATCAGTCCCGTTCCAACCTACTCAGCGACGTGGTGTTGTTAAGCTCAAGAGCTCAACCATTCAACAGTGCCACTGAGGATGTGGCTGAAAGCGCGGCGCATTCCCGGCACAAAGCAAGGTGCCGGTCTTCTATGGGGTTTCGCCTAGATAGTCCTCGACTCAGAGGAACCGCTTCACTGGAGAATGTAACGCAGAGTTGCCCGAGACAGAAGCCCAGCATGTCGTGGCGGTTTGTCGAGGCAATATGTTCGATCTGCCAGTAAAGCTGGATCTGCGACTCTACATCCACTTCCTGCTTCGGTTGTTTCTTTTTCACTCTCCTGGAAAGCTGCGGGCTGGAAGACGGTGTCCTCGCACGCGTGAGGAGTACCTCCACGAGGTGCGTGCGGGCTCGCATATGTGCGAGTACGAAAACTTCTCCGTTTGTGGCCTTTGCTGCCTCGTTTTGCTCTTCTTGATGATTATTGGCAGCGGGCTTTTCATGAAAATTCGAAGGGACCTGCTTTTGAGGGTCCTGGTGCTTCCGAGATGGGGCGTTGACTGCTTGGGTTCGCAGTTCCGCTCCCTCCATAGCACCGTGAAGGCGATTTGCGGCGGCATCCCGTTGTGGATTGGGCTGCTGCTGTTCTGGGCTTGGATTCTTTGGACGCTGTGGGTTAGGCGTCGCCGTTCCGAATTTCCTGATAGAGGTGCCGCTCCACGTTGGCACCGGCGGGCCCGAAGCTTTACTTCTGGGCAATTTCGCCGTTTGCGCAAGGCTGTGCATCTTTGGGGGCCAGGGCATGGCTGCCCGAGACCCGCTGGGAGGAGAGCTCTTTTGCGATTTCATCTTCGAGGCTATGTGGCTTTCGCTGCGCGAGTGGTTTCCCGGCGTCGTGCTACATGGTCGCGCCCATTTCGCTTGAGGATGCGAAGGGCGCCTTGGATTGCAGTTGCAGGTGGTTTTCGAGTTCGAGGTCTGTGCAGACCGGCTCGTGGTCGAGGCGGTGTCCCACGGCGGGCACTTTTTCCTCGTTTTGGTTTTGGCGATGAAAGCGGCGTCAATGTCGCTGAGAACAATTTTGCTTCAGCTTCCTCTTTTCGTTCCTTGGGGGCTGGAGATTTTGACGCTGGAGGTGCTTTGGCTACTTTTTGTGCAGGTGGTGGTGGAGCTCAGGGCACTTCTCAGCGGGCCGGTGGTGGTGTGGCTGGGGCAGGCGATTTGAAGTCCCGTGCCCTTGGCGGTGGTGTTCCTTCTAGTGACGCCTATGTCGTTGCTGACGATTTTGCCCCTTGGGGGCCTCACGCTGATGCTGGCGAAGATGCGAGTGTCTGCGATTGCATGACAGATGAGGCTCAGCGCATTTTGCCTGAGTCGGGCTGTGGCTCTTCGATGGCTCATGCTGCCGATCCCTTTCGGGGTGGTGCCGTGGATGATGGTGTGGTATACCCGGCCGGCTGTGACACGTTCCGCGGCGGTGCTGGTGGGTCCGCAGCCACAAAAAGAAAAAGAACGGAACGGCTCCTCACGGCTTTGCCTCAGATGTTGTCTGGTTGGGCCGAAGAAGCGGGGGAAGGCGAGGCTGAAGCAGATGATGGCTATGAGCATTTGTTTCGAGAGCTGGAGATGATTGTCACGAATCGGCCGAAGGACCCGATCATGGCATTACAAAGGCTCCTTCAATCTTGGCAGGCTCCGGCGACTACGTGGCCTTCGGCTTCACGGTGGGCTTCCAGGAGGCGTCGTACTGAGGACTGGAATGGCTGGCCTGATCCTGCTCCTGCTTCTTGGGAGGAGTGGCCGGTTGATGTGCCGGCGGACTCTGGTCAGTCGTGGCAGCCGGCTGCTGAGGAGGAGGGCTGGATTGAGGTTTCCCGCAAGAAGGCGAAGGCGAAGAAGAAGAAGGCTAGTGCTGAGCCAGCTCCTCGAGTTGTCTCTCTTTCGAGGACGGGCAAGGATCGTGGAAATGGCAGGGTCCGGGGCGATGGTCATCGCGGTGACTCGGCCCCCCTGATGCCAGATGAGTGGCGGCCCCGAGCTGCCGATTGGGACCTTGGCACTGTTGTCGTCTCTGATGTGGCCGAGCTGCTTAATGACCCTGAGCAGGAGGCGGTTGCATACGCCAGCACTCCCGATGAGATTGAGCGCCTTCGCACCTTTGTTCAAAGTGCCGATGGCGATCGTGATGTGACTTTGGTCGTCCTCAAGGGGCACTGTGAACAGGTGAGGCAGGACTTCACCGAGGTTGAGTGGCACGAGCAGCGGCTCCCGGGTGCTTTGAAAGGCCGGGTTCGTGTCGCCACAGCGTGGATTGCTCATTGTGGGGAGAACGCTCCCAAGCTGAAGCGTTTCAACGGTGCTTTTAGGCCGCCGAGCTGTGCGGAGACTACGGTGCTCCGCGTACACGCCCACTGGATTCACCATGAGCTCCGGTGGCAGGCCTTGACCGCCAATCCTGGCGCACACCTTCGTGAATGGTGCTTTGGACATGTGGGTCACATCAAGGACTCTTTTGGCTGGCAGGTTGTCCGAGGTCCAGGCGGGGCCACCGCGACCATAGAAGGAAAAGTGCGGCTTCCCTCCTCGAAGGCCGCACAGCTGATGCAGATGAGTGGAGAGTATTGCAAGTCCGAGCGTTGGTTTGTGAACTCTCTCTCGCGACAGCAGAGCATCCCGGATGTTCCGCCTTTAGCTGTTGACTGGCTTCCCTGGAATGCTGATGAAACATGGAGTCAGTATGCATCCAGAGCCCGCCGCTCCCTCACCCCCACCTCTTTCGGCCTCGCGTGGGGGATGTCACAGTTGGGAACTCGCAGGGCCGCCACGGACGAGGATCGCTCAAAAGTTTGCACTTTGCAGCGCACCTGGAAGGTCGTTGGAATTCCCCGTGACTGGGCCTTCGAAGACGTTGAGACATTTCTTTCTGATGCTGCTCTTGAGGAGGTGCAGCTCCGTGAGCGCAAACCGTGGAAGAGTCAGACTTGCTGGATCTTCAGAGCTAAAGCCCAGGACTCCTGTGAGTACTTCAGTGTTGAGCTTGACACAGGCTTGGTTGAGGCCACTCGTCTCGGCCAGGACCGCCACACCTCTCGGGCCCAGCCGTTGCCGAGTGAAGCTCGTCAGGTGTTTGCTGTTCCCAAGAAGCAGCCCTCAGCTGCGGCTGCTGCTTCTAGGACACCTCTGCTAGTGTCGAGGTCGTTGAGGATGCCGAGGACGACGAGCCGACCATGCAGGTCGATGCTGCCTCTGGGAGTGCCCGGCTTGACGATGGCAAAAGCTTGCCTAGGTCTGATGACACGCCGGCGAAGCGTCAGAAGGCTGGCGCCCCCTCTGCTCCTGCCGGCGTGCCTGCCGGCATGCAGCTTGTCAACAACAAAGGGGAAGGGAACTGCATGTTCTTAGCTTTGTCAGATGCTTTGGTTGGGGTCGGCCGCTCAAAGCGCTCGGCCCTGGAGCTCCGCAACATTGCTTGCACCCATCTCAGAGCCCATGCTCGGGATTTCGAGGGATACTGGGCCGGAGACAGCCCGTCGCAGACCGGCGAGCCTATCAAGGACAAAGGTTTTCAAGCCTATGTGCAGCTTGCTGCCCGTGATGGGGCTTGGGGCGGCAGCCTCGAGCTTGCCGCTTTTGCTGCTACTTGTGACATTCCTGTTTACGTCAGCCGGGAGACGGGGAGCGGATCACAGTTTTCGGCCACTCCTGCAAGGGCAACCCGCTTGCCCTGTGGTATGAGAATCGGCATTACCAAGCTCTGGTTGGTCAGCTTACGCCCGCTCTGCGTCAAAAGGCTAAACGGCTAAACCTGCCAAGCTTGGAGATGTGCACTTCCGCGGTGGTGGATTGCAGCGAGCTGATCTCGAGGCTGCCTCCTCTTTGGGTGGCCACACTGTTGCTTCGAGGACTTCTACTCTTGGTGGCTGTTCTGTTGGAGCTGCTTCTCGCCGAGCTCCCTCGACTCTTGGGCGGTGCACTGCGCCTCGCTCTGGCGCCGGCTCTGCCGCTGCTGATGTTCGGTGCTTGTCGGCTAGGCCCTTGGACGCGCGGTCTTCTTGCTCTACGCTGGGAGGCCACACTTCTGGTGCTCAGAGCTCTTCGGCACGGCCTCAGGGAGCCACGACCGACGCTGATCCACCTCCGACGCTTAGCTCAAGCCAACGAGCGCTGCTTCAGCCGCGCTACCGCCGAAATGTGCTGGTGACTGGTGATGGCCCACCGCGGTTTGAGTGCCCTCACTGCGACTACGCCTACACTCACTCTTCGAGGACCGTGGTTTCCTCAGCTCGGAGGACTCACTTGATCCGCTGGCACGATGGGGTCGGGGTCCCAGGAGCTGTGCGGGTTGTGGACACTCCTTTCCGGAGGCTTTCCGCGGCCGAGATCCAAGCCGACAGCTTCGACTGGAAATGCCCTGTGTGTCGTTTCGGCATCCCTGCTCAGGCGCGGGACAGCATTTCCAAACATGTCTTCGAGAGGGAAGCGACAAAGCACCGTCGTGACCGACATCCTTCTTACGATGATCGCCAGTGGCAGGCTTTGGCTGCTGCACAGGCCATGCGCAGACGAGGTGCCCGACGGAGCCGTGTGGTTGGCGCCGCCAACAAGCGGGCCGTGAAGCTCGTGTCGAGTGGCGTGGACTTTCAGGGCTTCGACGAGCTTTTGTGGCCGGTTCTCGCTTCGAAGAACCGTCGTACTTGCAAAGTGCTGTGGCGGAAGGCTTGGTGCTGTCAGGAGTGCTGCCATCTGTTCACCCATGCGTCGCCGAAGTGCCGCCTCGTAAAGGCACTTATGCTGCGCGCCGCAGGCGCTTCTTCAAGGTTGCTAAGATCCTCAGGCGGGGACCGCATGGTCTCCCTGAGGAAGTCCTCACCGCCCGGCTGGCTGCCGCCGAAGCTGCTTTGCATCGCAGTGATCCGAGCCGTCGACCTTCTTCTGTGACATCATGACGGCGGCTCATTTTTCGGAGGGCCGTGTGACTCGTGTTGGCACCATGAATGTGGGCAAGAGTTTGGCGAGTAAAGTGCTGGCTGTGGTTGCTGTGATGCAGTCCCAGGGCCTGGACATTTGTTGTCTTCAGGAGATTGATGTCAACGAGCCGTCGTGGCCTCGGGTGGTTGCTGGCTTTAGGGCTCAGGGCTTTGGCATTTTTGCTGGTGTTGCTGATGCCAATTCCATGCGACGGTGTGCCATTGTTAGCAAGCTACCTGGCAAGTTGCTGCAGCTTGAGGGCGTTGAGGAGGCAGCGAGGGCGGTGGCCATGGTCTTCGAGGTCCAGCGCAACGGCTCCTACCGCAAGGTGATAGTCGGTTGCACCTACGGCCACGCGAGTTGCTTAGAGGCTGCCTCTCGTCATAGCGGGCAGGTGATCGATGCTCTTTGTCGTCGACGGGTTGATTGGATGCTGCTTGGTGACTACAACGTTGCCCTGGAGGAGGCCCCTGCCGCTTGGGAACTAGCTGCTCGTGCTGATGTTCGAAGCCTCGACGAAGCTTGTCTCGAGTATTGCCCGCTCCCGGCTACTTCTCCGAGTCGGCTCAGGCGTATCGACTTCGGCCTTGCTTCACGGCAGTTGTCGGCGGAGGCTCTCCATACTTTCGAGACCATCGCTGATCATCGAGGCACGGCTTATGATATGAGGTTCGCTGGTCCGCGTGGGTTTTCTGGGCCGCCTCGTGTTCCTCTGAATGCGGCGGATGTTTCGCCTTCGTGCTGGGAGGAGGTGTGGCGGGCCCGATCTGCTTCTTTCCAGGCGGCTCTCACCACAGACGTCGAGGAGGCTTGGACCATTCTTTCCAGTGCTGCTGAACAGGCGATGGCGGGCTCGGCTCAGCGCTCCACTGGCTGCGCTCGGCACTCTACGTGGCGACCTCACCGAGAACGGGATGTCCACAAAGCTGCTGCTGGGGCAGAGTCCCTCCTGTTGACGCGGATGCGTCGCCTGCAACGAAGACTCGCTCACCTGCGCCGCGTCCAGCATGACGCGCAGCTGCGGCGCAACATTGATGCTGACCTGGGGCACCTTGGTCACACCTTCCCTGAGCTCTTGGAGTTCCGGCATGGTGGCGAGCTCGGCGCTGTGCGGCTGGTGGACTCCCTTGTGGACGCGCTTGAGAAGGAGGCGCTAGAGTCTGCAGTGGCGGCTTGGATTGACTTCAACTACAAGGCGCAGTGCGCTTGGGTCAAGCGTCGCTCCGGCCTCGAAAAGGAGCTCGAGATGCCGGCGAGGTGGACCCGCTTCTGCCTCGGGTCGCCATTCACCCGACGCGGGTCATTGCTGAGGCGGAGGCGCAGTGGTTGCCCCGGTGGTCGCGCAGGCAAGGGCGTAGCCATGCTGCTGTGGCGAGTGCGCTTAGCTCTCTTCCGGAGCTGCCGCTTGCGAACCTTGAGTTGTCCTTCACTGGTGCTGAACTGTTCGCCATCGGCAGGACCATGTGTGGAAAAGCTGGCGGGCCAGATGGTTGGACGGCTGATTTGTGGTGCCATTTGCCGCTTGCGTTCTGGAACTGCCTGGCGAGCCTTTGGCAGGCGGTGGTACGGCTGAAGGAGTTGCCACGAATTTGGCGTTGCTCGCGTGTTGCACTCATCCCGAAGGGCAACGGTGACTGCAGGCCGCTGTCTTTGCTGTGCATCGCCTACCGTATCGGTGCCAGAGCGGTGCTGTCGCAGGTTTCTTCTTGGGCGGAGGGATGGCTTGGGCACCAGAGGAGTGGCGGGGTGCCGCGCACGTCGCTCAAGGATGTCGTCAGTCAAGTGCTGGTTTCCTGCGTGGATGGAGGCGTCACTGTCGCTGAGGATTTGTCAAAATTTTTCGATGGCATCGACCACCAGGATTTGGACATGGCGCTGGAGCGGCTTGGCGCGCCGCGCCAGTTCCGCGCGTTGGTGAACCTCTTCTATGACGAGCACTACAAGCTCTTTTCGGCGGGAGGCTTGCTCGGTGGCTGCTGGCACAGGACGGCGCGGGGACTCTGCCAGGGTTGCCCGCTTAGCCCGCTCCTCGCTTCGACCGTCATGTTGGCTTGGGCTCTGCGTCTCGAGCAGCTCCCTGGAGTACGAGCGGCTTCCTTTGTTGATGACCGCTATATGCTCTTGAAACCGCAGGCGGATGCTGGCATGGCTTGTCGGTCCAGTCGCGACTTCGACAGGGCTATGGGTTTTTCCTGCGGCAGTGCTAAGTGCAAGGTGGCTGCCCCTTCCTCTTGTGCTTGGGCTGCAGGTGTGGTGCGAGCTTTTGGCTACGAGTCCACTCCCGTCCTCAAGGTGCTGGGCTTGATGCTTGACTTTAACGCTGGAGGCCGCGCTTTGTTGGCCGGGTTTTCGGTACATAAGGCGAGGCAGCGACTTCGACTTGCCTCGGTCGTGGCCAAGACTGTGGAGTGTAGGCGGCGCCTTTTTCGGTCCCTGGCGGTACCTTTGTGGACGTGGGCTGGCGCTTCTGGCGGCCTCGCCGCAGCGGAGCCAACGAGCTGCGGGCGGATGTGCTCTGCCGTGTGGGGTCGACGAGTGTCCGGGACAGGGCTTGCCCTCTGGCGCTGGAAATCATCGGCTACGACTGCGACCCTGTCTTCTCTCGCAGGTGGGCCGCGCTTCGTGAAGTTACCAGGGTGGCTACCTCCACGGCTGCTTGGCAGGAGACTGCCCCTCTTGATGTTGCTCTTCGTGCTTGGCCGCTGTACCTTCACTTTGCCAGGGACATTCTCACGGAGCTTGGGTGGCAGGTCGAGGAGAACGGCCGGGTTATCACCAGAGTCGATGCACAAGGCCGCATCCGGCGTTTCTGCTGTGGCCAGGACCGCCTTGAGGTCTTGCGAGAATGGGTTATGGACTGGCACCGTCGTGAAGCTTTTGTTCAGTGCCAGCGGGTCCACAGGGACTACCGTCGCACGGAGCCGGCTCTGGCTCGTGGTGGATGGCTGCCGCCGATCGCCAATGGCACCTTGTGCACCTTTCGTGGACATTGCAAGCACTTCTGTGTGTGGCTCTTTTGGCCGACAGCTTTGCCTAGGCCATGGATGCAGTGGATGGGACAAGGCCAAACGCAACGGTTTGGATGCCATCCCTCAGTGCCGCTGTGGGCTCGCTGAGCCTAGCCGACCTCACCTGCTCTGGAGGTGCCCGGAGTTCACCGCGCTTTCGGCTGCCTACGGACCGCCAACCACGCGCTTGGCTGAGAGACTGCTTGCTGTTGCTGTGCCTGAGACTCCGCCTGCTCCTCCCGTTCTCGATCCTGGCGAGTTGTTGGAGGACATCGCTGCTGACATCCGACTTCGGTGGCCACCGGATGGGGTGCTGTTGCTCGGCACCGACGGCTCGGCTTTTGACCTGGTCGCTGCTGCCGCTGTCGCTGTTGAGGGAGGGGGGGTCTTCGCTTCTGGACTCCAAGGAGAAGATCAATCCCCCTACAAAGCCGAACTCGAGGGTTTGAGACTGTGTCTTCAAGGCCTTTTGCGAGCTGGTGTGCCGGGACGAGCTGTTATATTGCGATTGACTGCAAGGCGGCGATTGATGCCTGGAATGGTTGTGGGTGTCTCTTGTTCTACGTGACACTCTTTCAGTCGTTGCGAGCCCAGTTGCGGTCGCTTGGTCTCGAGGTGGACGCCGTCTGGGTGCCTAGCCATGGCAAGCCGACCCCTGCTGGATGGAGTGGCAGTGCTTTCTTTTCGCTGCAGCGGCTTCGAGCCATCAACGAGCGTGCTGACGGCGCGGCTGGTCCTTTGGCCCGGCGGCGTGCCACTGGCTCCCTCCGCCAACGCTGTCTTCGGGCGCGCGAGGAGGCTGCCAGATGCGAGACCTGAGGGACTCCCACGGCGGCTAGCAGGACCATTCGTGGGCATCCTGCTGGTCGCTCCGCCAAACATTTTAAAGACGGTGTCCTCGTTTGCAGAGGCTGCCACTAGTTGTGAGACTAAAATACGGAATCCAATTTTTTTAGGTATTTTTTTGTTCTTCTTTGGGTATTTTTTTTGTTTTTGGTTTTTGCCTTTTCGGCTTCTGGGCTTTCCTTGCTGGTTTGTTGTCGTCTTTTATTTGGCTTCTGGGCTTTCCTTCCTGGTTTGCTGTCTTGTTGGCCTGCTTCGCGTTAAACCTAGTTGGCTTCCTGGCTTCTTCACCTGGCCTGGCTTCCTGACTTCTTCACTTTGATTTTTTGGCTTCGTGGCCTATCGGATGCCTAGCTTCCTGGGTTCTCGGCTTCTTGGCAAGAAGGGAATGGAATCCTAATTATTTGAGGATTTTTTGTTTTTTCTTGGGGAATTTGTTTTGAGTTTTTGCGTTTTTTGCTTTCCTCTGCTGTTCTGCTTTCCTCCTCTTTTGTGCTTATCTGCTTCTCTGCTTTTCCGCTTCTCTTGCTTCTCTGCTTTTCTGATTCCTCGCTGCTGCTTCTCTGATCGTCTGCTTCGTGTTTTTTTTAAAAAGTTTTTGCCTGCAGCTCTTCCCTGCTTTAGTGTTTTTTGTTACTGTTTTTACGTTTGTGCTTTTGCTTTTGTCTGCTTTTGCTGTCCTCTGCTTTTCTGCTGCTCTGCTTTTCTGCTTTCCGCTTCTCCTGCTTCTCTGCTTTTCTGCTTCTCTGACTGTCTGCCTCGCTTTTCTTTTTTTAAGTTTTCGCTTGCTCCTCTTCCCTGCTTTGCTTGCTTGTTGTTTTCTCTTGTTGATTGCTTTCCTCTGCCTTTACTTTCCTTTTGCTTTTCATCTATTGTACTTCTCTGCTTACCCGCTGTCCTGCTTTGAGGCTTTGCTTTCGTGCTATTACTATTAATCGTACTATTACTATTGCTATTACTATTACTATTTCTATTACTATTACTATTTCTATTACTATTACTTATTACTTATTACTTATTACTTATTATTTATTACTTATTACTTATTACTTATTACTATTACTATTGCTATTATTAAAGACTAAGAATATCTTCTCCAACATGCAAAAGAAATTCCTTGCGAAGTCGCCTTCGAAGCCCTCTTCGAAGGGGGCCCCCTCGTTGCAAATGGGGGGGGGGGGCTGGACCCCCCAACCCCCGCGCTCGCTTAAGCCGTGAAGAAATGAACAAACACGTCTTTCCCCAACACACGAGAAGGAGAAAGCCACACAAAAACGCTTCAGGGGGTTAAAAGCGAGGAAAATTAAAATAATCATAAAAGAAGCGTCTTCACCGACAGACAAGAAGAAGGCGAAAGCCAGACGTATTCGCTGGGGAGTAAAAAAGCAAGAAGACAAAAAAATGAAAAAGAGTCTCCTTTGTAAAACGAATAAATGGCTAAAAGCGTCTTCTCCAACACACAAGACTGGAGAAACCACACGAAATCGCTTCAGTGGGTAAAAACGAAAAACCAATGTCATTTTTGGAAGATTTACAAATGGAGGGGCGGCTCCGCCCCCGCAACCCCCCCCCCGCTTTGTCTAAACTGCAAGCTTTGCTGCTTGCTCCCTCCCCTTTACCCCCCGCTTTTCTGAACTGGAGACGCTGCTGCTTTCTTTAAGCTCCACTGCAGTTAGGGTAGTAGCAAAAGCAACAACAACAACGACAAAAGCAGTGACACAACAGCAAAAGTAGCAACGACAACGACGACAACGACACTAGTAACAATAGCAACAACAAGAACAATCATAATCATGACACTAACAACAACAACAACAACAACAACAACAACAACGGATGAGAATAACGAGAACAGCAACAACGACCACAACGATAACAATGGCAGCAACAACAACAGCAACAGTAATAATAGTAATAACAAATATTACATATGATAGTAACAGTAAATCCAATAAATCAGTGAATAAAATGGTACAATAATAATACGGCAATACATAACAATAGAAAATAATAAGGCTAACAACAGCCACAAGAAGACTAATACCAATAACAATAATAGCAGCAACAACAACCGCAACCACAACCAAGGTAACGTCGGTTTTTCTCAGGACAACAACAACAACTAAGATAATGTAGGCTCAGGTCAGCGAAACGCGGGAAATTACACGAAATCCGGCCAAAATGTCAGGAAAGCTTAAAACTAGCGGTTTTCGGCCGGAGCCGAATTTTATGTTTTTTTGGGTCGTATTTTGATTTGGTTGGGGCACTGTATACTTATTGTTATGTTGAGGGTCTAACCTCATGTGAACGTCAACGATGACCATGCTGTGACGATGACGAGGATGATGACAATGATGATGGCAATGATGACGATGATCATGATGATGGTGGCGAAGTGGACGTTATCAGCCCCCGCGCCACCCCCAAAACTTCAAGACCAGACCCCGCAAACAGCAAGCACGACTTTGGGCAACCAAAAAAATTAATGCCACGGCGGACGTTACAGGTCAGGAATTCCTGGGTATTTATAGCCTTTGGCGGTTTTTAGGCTTAGAACTAGCTGTTTTCGGCGGGGGCAGATTTGTATGGTTTGGGTCGTTTTTTTGTTGCTGGGCCACTGTGGAATTATTGTTGTGTTGATGGTCTAACCTCATGTGGGGATGATGTGAGTACCGGAGCGTAAAAGATGACCATGCCGTGATGATGACAATGATGATGACAATGATGACGATGATCATGATGATGGTGGCGAATTGGACGTTATCAGTCCCCCCCACTCCCACCCCCCAAGACCCCAATACCAGCTCCCGAAAACAGCAAAAACGCGCGACAGTAACCCAGGCGCTAGCTAAAACATGCTGCACCCCGGCACCCTCCGGATGGCCGAGCAAGAATCGAGCTATGTTGTGCAAATTGCAAAAGGCAAAGAGCTTGCATGAGTAGACACGCTTGCAGATGTACATTTAGACAGAAGTCGGCACTTCAGACGTCGTGCAACTTGTAAATTGCATGTAATTGGCTAGAAAAGAAGGAAAACAAAAATAACACCGGGAAAAAAAACAAAAAATACCTAAATTAATTCTGCAGCCCTAAAATACTCCCGCCCTCAGTATGCCTAGCTGGCTAACAAAGTCCCAAACCCAAAGAGCTTCGCACTTATAGGAGTAGCGATGTTGTGGTGAACACTTGCTTGCCAGTTTATCAACTTTGCTATGCACACTGCTGCTTCAACTGTGCTTCCTTAGCACCAGATGTTCCCTCTGCACCAGGCGGCTTCCCCACCGTTGTGTGGCTGCGGCTGGCAATCCGCTTCTACCAGGATCTGTTGAGACTCTGCCCAGGATGTAGAATAGGCCAATTCAGGCCAATTGGAAGGTGCCGATCTGAGAGACCTGGCCTGAGGAGTGCAAAGGCAGCTCGAAAGCGCGACGTGTCGCCCGAGATTGGCTCCGTCGTTTCATGGCCCTCTTCCAAGCGCCAAGCATATGCAGGTAACCTATCACCCGAATTAATGATTGAATGCTCAGGCTCAGCTGCCCAAGGCCATGGCAAGCAACCTTATCGCCGTCCTGTAGCCCGTGCCCTCTCGTCACAGCAGCCAAAGCCCCTTCTTTCCTAAGCTCAGAAGGCCTCCCGGTCATGAAGAGAAGCAGATCCCTTCCTTTTACGAGCCTCGTTGGAAGCCGAGGTCTGGGCCTGGCAGGGCTTGCCGACGGGTGGTTCGCCGGGAGCCCGGCCAAATGGCCGTACTGCCCGGGGGCGGAGGCAACTCTTGTAACACCTATGTGATCCGCAGCGCGGGAGTTGGCTAACACGCATTTTGCTGCAGATTCTGCACCATGGCAGTCAATTTTAATCGGGAGTTGGATCCGATCCCGAGCCGAGTTTGGCACGCTGAGGCCCCTGGCGCTTGCGGGGGAGCAGGACTCCTCAGACTTCATCGCTCCTTCGAACATCGTGGGCCCAGCAGCCACTTCCAAGAGCCCCACTGCATGGCAGCTTTGCCTTCAATTTGATGGCCCTCCGCCGCCTGCGTCTCGTCGGAGGAATACTACTCCGGTCGCCTGGCGGCTGGTGTGCCGGCAGGCACGTAGCGACCTCAAGACTCGATGCATGGATGCGTGCTTTCTCGTCTGAACTACATGGACGGGCAATTCAGCGTGTTTATCCGAGCTCTTTGCACTTTCAGACTTTGTAGCGCGCCAGAGTGTTGAGAGGTGACATTGGGAATTTCGATGATCCGAGCTAGCCGTCACCCTGAAGCACGTGCTTAGGGAAAAGGATTTTCGTGACCCTGAAACGCTGCCACACAAAGCCGCACTGATGACACTCCACTCCAATCTCTCAGGCTTCTCCTTTTTGTCTGTGAAATGGTGGCCTTTCTGGAGAAGTCACCTGCGCCCAGCGCTGTGGGGGAGGACTTCTTTCGATGGTCATTTTATGGGTTTCTGCACTGTCTCTCTCCTCTCACTTGAAGTTCGCTTGATGCAAGCCACAGGCGCCATGAAATTTGCATCACGCTTCCATATCGGAAATTTTGCTTGTGTGAAGGCTACATTGGGTTTGCATTCGCCGTGTTTGTGGAGAGATTTTTTCGCCCGGCACCTCAAGCCTCGGCTTCACTAGTCACTAAAGCAGATTGAGAACTCTGGCCTGGCAAGAGGGCCCGCTCAGAACTGTCGTTCCCCAGCACAGCCAGCCGGGAGGCCGGCTGCAGCAGGTCAGAGTCGGAAGAGTTTCAGTAAGCGCAACGAAGGCTAAGACGATGCAAACGCGAAGCCGAGCCTCCGGCGTCCGACAACGCCCAGATCAAGCTTGCTTTTTCGGGCAGCGCGAAGCATCACCTCAAACCCGGAGATCCGCAAGCCGATGTGGTTGAGCCATGGCCGTGTTGACTGGCGACGCCTTGCAACTCGCCGCAGATCTGGGTGGTCTGGGGACTGGGGGTGCTTGCGCAGTGGAGCTGCTGAGGCAAAGCTGCTTCTCGCCTTCTGCGTTTTAAGGAGGCTGCCCGAGCTTCTGAGGAGATACTGGCCACGAAGGCGATGGGAGCAGCAGTCGGAGACCCGTTGCATTCTTGAAGCTTCTGGAGGCCGATAGCATGGGATGGGAGCCCTCCGTTCCTGGGCTGGTCCGCAACGGCTCTGGCAACTGCCATTCGAGCCTCAGCGGCCATGGCAAGAGCTCCGCACCTGTCTGCTGGTCTGCCGCACTCCTTCGACCCTCCAGCTAAGCAGATGCCACGTCAAGCCAAGGCAAGGGCGAGCTGACCTCCACCGCGGTCGTCAAGGCTTACATTCAGCGAATCAGGAAGGTTGATGTGACTCGCTGGCACCCAGTCTCAGCAGCACCTGGCTGACCGGTTCTGATTGCAATTCGGGCTCTTCTCACTGTGGAGCCTTCGAAGGTTCACCTCAACGCTCTGGTGGCGGAGCGCTTTTCCGCCGCGCTGGCCCAGGTGCAGGGTTTATGTCCGTGATGGTAGCAAGTAATGCTTCTTCTTCAGGTTTCTGAGGTGCGTGGAGGGTCATGCGCTCCAAGGCTGAGACCGTGGACCGGCAGATTGAGGCCAGCGGCCAGAGAGTCCTGGGGCCCATCGTTTGGGAAAGCCCGTGGTGCTTCTGCTTCAGGCTTCACAGGGCGATCCTGTCAAGCCCTGGCCACCGTTTCTGGGCACCTTGACTGTAGAGCCACCAATCCTGACAGGTTGCCCTTGCTTGTTGAGATGTTGGCTGCGCAGACATGTGGATATATAAGCACACGGCCTGGAGCGGAGGCGTCCCCATCATTTTGAAGGAGGCTCTCGAATACCCGGGCTTCCCCTACACCAATGGCCTGCTATGCCGGAAGGGCAGCTCGGACTCTGCTAGAAAGCCACCAGCTATTTCCAACATGTCGCAGGAGCGTTGCTTTTTGTCATGTTGTGTCTCATGAGTCATGAGTATGCTCGCAGTTGCCACTGGTGTTTTTTTTCACCATCGCTGCTGCGCTGCCCATGCTTATGGGATATTGTGTTCGTTGTTGCGATTCTGACTAGTCTTAGCCTTTCATGGTGTAGTCAGCATGTCCTTGCGAACACGGTGCGGTTGGCACCCAGCATCTTCGGAACCGTTCCGCTTTTCTTTGGAAACATCCAGAGACCCGCGGACCTTGGAAACCCGAATTCGTGTATGGTTGTGTAAGCATGAGTACCAATGGCAAGGATTAGAAAGGCAATGCTCAAGTCGAAGTGGTTCCAGCCCTCGTGGCAGTATGTTGCAGCGGCAACTCGTGATTGTTCAAAGGAATAAAGAAAGAATGTGGCCAATCATACTAACGAGTACTGTGGTACTGACATCAGTACTCGTAGTAAAAGTAGTGATGAGATGGTGGACATAGGAGTACAACTCGGAATGATAGCATCACCATGTTTCACTGATCATACTAGAGTCCATGCAGGTGCAGATAACAATGGGAGTAGTAACAACGCAGCTTGTACTCCTGTTGTTCTGGCGTTCATAGAGGTACTTCAATTACATGAAGTAGTCGCATCGTCGCAGTCATCGTCACGCTGGTGGTGTGGGGTGGTGGTTGTGGCTGGTGGTGGTAGAGGTAGTGGTGGTTGTGGTGGTGGCGATGTGGTGGTGGTGGTGGTGGTGGTGGTGGTCGCGGTGTTAGGAGCAGAGCAGTTCTCCGAGGTCGTGTGGGCGAGAGCTCAGGTCCTGTCGTGCGCCGGATAGAGGCAGGGCTGTGCTTATTGACATAGAAAAAGCATGTAGCAGCACATTTTCTGCATACACATGTACATACCTGCATACATGCATGCATGCATGCTGCATGCATACAGACGGACACACACACACACATCGCTCTGTCGATTTGTGAGCTCGATGCTTCAGAGCTGCATCTGCATCTGTTTCTGTATGTATACATTCATGATCTATATGAGCATTGTAGAGGTTTGACGACTTGTTGTGTTTGTTAACTGGAAGGCCTCACAACTCTCTCTATGTGAGTATGTCTACTCGTGAGATGACATGTCTGCATTCGAATCTCTTATGATTCTGCACCTTCGATATGTACTTTGCATTCCTCCCGACGCTGCCGTGGTACATAGTTGCATGCCAGAGTGCCTACTAAGTGTTTTCGTTTTCCAGCTGTTCTGTCCAGAATGACAAGCTTGTTCATGGCAGTCAGCACTGCAGCACACATGGTTCGGACTTGCATCTTCCTCCTTGTGCTGTTGCTGTAATTTGTATGCATGTATGTATACCGATCGACCTGTACAGATGTGTATGTACATACATACACATAGATGGGCGAATCTGTACGTGGTTTTGTGAGATGATGCTGCGTCACATCATCTTCGTCTTCGTTGTATTGCCGAGTTAGCCCGCAGTGCAGTCTTACATGTTAGTTCCCAATATCCGAGCATACGTCATGGGCACCTTGCTAGGGCATTATGCGACTGGTTCGCGACAACTGCGCGTAAGGACACGTGATGTGGAAGTTTCTGGTAATTAGCTGCCGTTTCTTGATGGAGCATGACTGTGTAGCCGCAGTCCTCAGATCTACGCCGGCCATTCGTGAGCTCTATCCTATTGGCTGTTGGGATCTCGTTGCGAGGATTCTTGCAGCTTTGTTTTTCATATCGTGGCATCGTGCAATTTGAGGCTGCTGGCTTCATCGTGCTTGGCACTGGCAACGTTTCAGAGGCTCCTGCTTGACATGGTGCGATGGCACAGTTACAAGCCGCAGCCCGCGAGAATCGCAGTCAACCATAAGTTGCTGGCATCATGTGTTAAGGGCCCTGGCTGCAGGCCTGCATGTGGATGGAAACATACAACCTCGTGTTGCTCGGCGCAACTGCACCCCTCCGAGGAGTTTAGCACAAGCTTGCCACGAAAAACACCCCTGACCCTGCCCTCGAAGAAGCCAAAATTATCGAACCACACAGTTAAGTTCTTGAAGAAAGGTATGGTCGCAGCCACAACCCCTATGGACTACATCTGACCCCTGGCGGCTCCAGTGGTGGCACGGCAGCGCTGGTGGCGGCCCTTGGGGCGCCGGCGCCCCGAGCTAGCGTTTCAGGTTCCCTGAGTGCATGGTTCAGCGTAATTCCTTTTGAATCTGCACTTTTTGCTGTCTAGGTTTCGCAGCACAGACTGTGAAGCTCGTGCGAACCCATCACTACAGATTTCCGACAGGACTACAGTCTAAAATATAGCCCCCTTCGCGAGGACTCATAGTGCTTCGCCAGGTAGGCCTCACTGCAGACATCGGTGGATCGACGCGCATCCCCGCCCTCTTCAATGGACTGCCCCTTCCTGAGATCTGCTTTGGAAGGGGATCCAGCCGGCGTAGGCAATCAATCCCGGTTCGGGTACAAGAGTCTGGTGGAGGGATGTCGGCAACGAGACCAGGGTCGGAATCTCCGAAGCTGAAAGCTCGGCCCAGCTTCATAAGTTCTGCAAAGCTAGCCCAGCAGCGAGCACTAAGAACACAGGCTTTCTCATGTTTCCGGCCATGACAGTGATAGACTCAGGTTCGGACACAAGCCCACTGGCGGCATCTGTCCAAACACACGGACACACCTCAACGAGTTCCACGGGGTGGCCTGGCACACAACTGAGCAACTAGAAAAGCTCGAATACCACAGACACTTCATGGGGTCTGGTGGAAGATGTTCAACAACAGGTTATATGGATGCCGCAAGGGGAGTTTGGAGTCTTTGTCCCAATATTCAGAGTGCACTACTCACTACTCCAAAGTGTCCCAGTCCGCAAAAGGGGTTTTATCAGTGGCAACAAGGTTACTTGATCGTGTAAGATGAATTGGTTGATGCTCGATCTTAGAGAGTTCTGTGGGGGGCCGTTTCCATTCTCAGCTGCGACAACCGATCTTTTGGAGTCCTTCCAGTCCGACGCCGCTTCCCCGGGAGACGAAACAGCAGCGAACTTTTCCGCTCGGAATCTACTCGGGCAGTGGTGGATGACGGTAGGGATGAGAGCAGGGACGGTGATAATTCTTTCAATATGTGGGGGCCGGGCAACCCGGCAGCCTCTCAGAGGCAGTATGACGTATCTGTTTCACATTCTCCACATATTGTAATTTCAAACATTCAATACTGCGTTGGAATGATCCACCCTGCCCAGTTCAAATCCCTCCAGCCCTACAGCCCTCACCGGGGATATTTATTTTGCCACGGCAGGCTGGCAGGTGGCTGGGGGATGGTGCCTGGAGAACTCCAAAGCTTGCTTGGAATCTTGCATGGCAGGCCGGAGGCCGGAAGGCAGGGGGCTGGAGGGCTGGAGGGTTGGTGCAGTGGAGAGGGCTGGAGGAAATGGGTTGGTGGAGTGGCGAACTGGGTGGGCTGAGGGTTGGGGAGGGTGGAGGATTGCCGCTTGTGTTTAAACTGATGCCTACGTTCAAGATCTGCAATTTCGAAGAGCTGTCCGTTTCAACACGACGAACGGTGGGTCTTTGCAGAAAGCTCCAGCCCAATCGTGGCGCAAGACTGTGACAGCAGGTGGACCCCCTTGCCGTGAGGGGGGCGCCACACCCTGACTTTTTCCAACGGCTGGACATGTCCCCTGATGATGACGCACGAAGTGGGATGCGCATCAAGAATATTGTATTTTGCATCAAAGCAAAATTTATTTTCATCCAAAAAACTTATTTACAATCAAAAATATTTTCCCTTTGCATAGAAGGAAGAAGAGAGTACGGAAGAAAAGAAGGCAGGAAGGAAGGAGGGAAGGCAGGAAGGAAGGAAGGAAGGAAGGCGGGGAGAAAGGGCGAGGAAAGAAGGAAGGAAGGTAGGAAGGAAGGAAGGCAGGAAGCAAGGAGGGAAGGCAGGAAGGAGGGAAGGAAGGAAGGAAGGCAGGAAGGAAGGAAGGAAGAAAGGCAGGTAGGAGGAAAAGAAGGAAGGCAGGAAGGAAGGAAGGACAATGGACAGCAAGGACAGCCGGAATGCAGGAACAAAGGACGCAACGAAGGAGGACATGAAAGCAGACAGGGAAAATGGAAGGCAGACTGGGATAGCAGTAGTCGAATACTACAGGCAGCAAGAGTACTACGAGTATTACTATTATTATTACTATATTTTCATCTTTTTCTACAAGAACAAAAACAAACCACCACCACCACCGTACTGGTACTAGTACTAGTACTAGTACTAGTACTCGCACTCGCACTCGCACTCGCACTAGCACTAGCACTAGCACTAGCACTAGCACTAGCACTAGCACTAGCACTAGCACTAGCACTAGCACTAGCACTAGCACTAGCACTAGCACTAGCACTCGCACTCGCAGTCGCACTCGCACTAGCACTAGCACTAGCACTAGCACTAGCACTAGCACTAGCACTAGCACTAGCACTAGCACTAGCACTAGCACTAGCACTAGCACTAGCACTAGCACTAGCACTAGCACTACTACTACTACTACTACTACTACTACTACTACTACTACTACTACTATGACTACTACTACTACTACTACTACTACTACTACTTCTACTACTACTTCTACTACTACTACTACTACGATTTCTACTACTACTACTTCTACTACTTCTACTACTACTACGATTTCTACTACTACTGCTACTACTACTTCTTCTTCTTCTACTACTACTACTACTACTAGTACTACCAGTACTACTACCGCTGCTGCCACTACTACAACTACTACTACCACTACTACTGAAAGTTTTTTTGATGTGGACGAAATCAACGGATGCTCATGGTCTTGCTTGTAAACATGTAGAGAAAGTTTTTTGATTGGAAATATGTTGTCATAATTCGTCCAAAAGTTTTTTGATTATTGACGAAAGCTTTTTGATGCGAAGCAAGTTTTTTGTTGATGGGTTTCCCGCGAAGTCGTGGGCAACTGGTGGCAGGGGAGGCCGTCCACATCAGATCGACGGAGCTTACGCCTTTCCAGGAGAGTGTCGACCATCTTGTCGCAACATTTGCCGACCTTCCAGAGGAAGAAAATGCAAAGGACATCGATATTGTTTGCCAGCTTTGCAATTCTTCGACGGAAGGGGCCTTGCAGTACTACTTTCGAAGCTTAAGGCCAAAAAGTGGACTTCCGCCGCGTGTGAGCTCCTTGAAGATACGCCTTTCACCGTGTCTTCTGTCAAGGCCAAGTCCCCTCGCTGCTCTACTGCGTACCAGTGTGCCAAGTGTGGTCGGGTTGCCACTCTTGGTGTGTTTCGGGAGTTCCCCTCTGCAAGGCACGCCCTGCTGGCATCTCCGTGTACCAATGGAGATTGAAGACTCAAGGCCGTGAAGCTGCTGAGGCCTTTGTTGCTGACGCTCAAGCCAGGTACCTGAAGAAACGTTCTGCCCGCGCGGCCTCGTCGTCGTGACTAGGCGTTCCCTCTATGCGGTTTTCCTTTGACCCTCTGCTTGGGGGTGCCGACACCAGTCAGTCCCAGGTGGAAGCTGTGTCCTTGCTTACTGTCAACATTTGAGTCAACATTTGAGCTGCCTCACCAAGTACCGCCTCCTTCTGAGCGTGCACACAGTGTCCGCCAGGGCGGCTGCGCTTTGTTTTGGCGCAGTCGGCTTAAGACTTCTCCCTTCCAAGTTGACCTTGCTCGCGACAAGCAGCACCGTGTCTGTGGCCGTGTCTTCAGCAGCTGCGCTGTTGTGTCCTGTTACGCTGACGCGTCTGTTGCTGACGTTCCTACGGTGTCCGCTGTTTTCCGTGAAGCCGTTGCCCTCCAGAGACCTTGCATTGTTTCGGGTGACTTCAACTGGCGGCCAGCCTACGGTGAACTCGTTCGTGTTTTCGGTGGCACGTCTTCCCCCGCTGTGCCTTGCGTGCAAGGTTCTGCGCTGGCTTGCCCTACGCTGGCCGTTGGCTTTGGGGGCCTCCGCTTGCAACATACGATGCCCCTGCCTGGCATCCCGCATCATCACGCTGTTGTGGTCTCGACTGCGTGGCCCGCGGCTTCCGGGTTGTCGTCGGCTGCTGCAAGCCCGGTTTCGGGTGGTGACTTTCCACTCCGCTACAGGCGCTGTGCTACCTGCTCTTGGCTTACTAAACCCTCACCTGCGCAAACTGTGACCTTGCGTCAAGCCTCTGAGGCCCCTCGTGGCCCTAAGCCCTGTTTGGTCGAAGCGCTTGCGTCGTGGCACCTCCGCGCTGAAGCTGCTTGTGCTTCCGCTGTCACTCTTGGTCTTGCTTCCCGTGACAGGTGTGCTGAGAGACCCAAAGATTCTCTCCCTACTACCCGCCCCTCTGCGACCCCCGCAGCTCACAGACCTTCCGAGTCTTGCCTTCTGTGCCGGGCTAAGCGCACTCCACAGGGCTGCGTGTGAGCAACAGTTACGTCGTGGTGAGACTGCGGCTCTGACGCCCGTGCAGATTCGGCACTGGAGAGCTCCTAGAGGACGAAACGCACTCTAAAAAGACCCCGGTGGTCAAAAAGACAGCTAAATTCATATTGGTTCGGTTTTTAAGAGACATTTGAGGAATATATCGATCATATTGAGGAATATAAGAAACATTCAAGTGCAGCGTCGTTTAAATTCATATTGGCTCGTTTGTTAGCCTTCAACTAATTATCGGCGTCGCTTATTTTCACTTCGTCCCTTGTGGTAAGAAGGTATACCATGCATGACTTGATTTGTATTCTTTGGCGCTTTGGCATGGCTTGCTACTACTACTACTACTACTACTACTACTACTACTACTATACTACTACTACTACTACTACTACTACTACTACTACTACTACTACTATACTACTATGTATTTTTGACATGGCTTGACTTGCTGGGCATGGCTTGCTTTGGCATGTACTACTACTACTACTACTACTACTACTACTACTACTACTACTACTACTACTACTACTACTACTACTACTACTACTACTACTACTACTACTACTACTACTACTACTACTACTACTACTACTACTACTACTACTACTACTACTACTACTACTACTACTACTACTACTACTACTACTACTACTACTATTACTACTACTACTACTTCTTCTACTACTGCTACTACTACTACTATACTACTATGTATTTTTGACATGGCTTGACTTGCTGGGCATGGCTTGAGTTGCTTTGGCATGCCTTGACTGCGAATATAGTAGATATATATCTATCCTAAGATCGCAAACTCTATATACCCAATACACAGAGCAATCCATGCCATGACAAGCAGTAACAACTTGCAACACAAATCGAAACATGCCATGGCACATGCAGACTGCTACATTGGCATGGCTTGACTTGCAAAAAAGGTGCAGGCAGCAAGCTTGCAACATTTTCAGAACCCTAGCTCCTCGAAAGCGGTCTTGCAGTTGATGAGACTTCTCTGCAAAATGGTGAGACTGCAGCTACCGTAGTGCAAGACTCTTTGGACTCGCAGGAACTTCTTCACGTAGTCCTGGCAGCATGAATGTTTGCAATTCGGGCTACAGGCTTACAGTGCATGCACTGTCCTCGTCCATCCAGCAGCTGTAAAAGGCCGGGTTCTCGCGAGACTCCGACAGCTCAAGAAACTGGATCATGTGTTGCAAGGCATGCCCCTTCGGCCTTACCTTTGCTAAAAAGACAAGCGACCTGTCCACA